ATCCTGCTGTCGAGGCACATACGACCCGCTCCTCGGGGGAGGGGTGGGCACTCGACGTCGATCATCACGATCGAATCGGTGATCGGGGGCGATCTTTGGCTATGAGCCGACTGGACTGTGTCTGCAGCAACGGATCTGCTATGAATCCTGTTCCGCGACTGAGAAACAGCAGAATTCTGGTCTCCTACTGCCCGGAGTAATGCTCTGATCTGCAGCATGCCTCTGCCAGCCTCCGACTGGGAAGGCTGAATCGACTCTGCTATACGGGCTGCAGCTGCTAAATTCTGAATCAGAGTTCGATATACCTGCGGGGGCGGAAAGAGTTGGCGTCGACTAGATTCTGGAACCCGTTGTCGTGCACGCTCGTCGAGTGCTCGCTGGAGGTTCTCCAGTCGAGTGCACTCGGCCAAGTTTGCCAGTCCTCCAGGGCACGAGCCTCGGGGGTTTCTCCAACGATAGGAGTGTGCAGTGCATCCATGTTCCGGCGACGAAGTTCTTCTCTCTGAAGCGATGTGAGAGGCTCGGGGAGATATTCCTCATGGGGACGCGACGGGTCACCTCCACCTGCGCCTCCGTTGGTGCGGGGAAAACCGGGAGGACTAGGCGGTCCATTGACCATCAGAACCTCCGCCGCCAGATCACTGCTATCGCACTCGGATGCGGTCTCTGCGGAGCCAGTCGACAGGTCGAACAGGCCGTAGAGGGATTCGTCGGGCTCGATCGCCGCGACTTGAGGGGTGGCCGACTGGCGTGCCACCGCGTGTCTCACCCACCGCTGAAGTCTTGACCGACCGGAGCGCTTGCGCCGGTGGGAAACAGGGAGGGAGGACAACACAGGAACCGGTCGATAATGGGTCGACGGTTGCCGCAAGAGGACGCCGCGGACGCACGCGCGAAAGTGCGTTGCCCCGCGGACAGGGAGTGCGTCCACATCGAGCGGAGCCTCCTGAAGCCAAGCGGAGTCGTCGGCGATGAACGTGAGCGCACCGAGACGGATCTCGCGGCCCTCCACCAAAACTCTGCCAGAAACCATGATGATTTGGATCGGAAAAGATCGCAACTCCTCCAACAAATCGCTAAAACACCTGCCCTACGGTGGGCGCCAACTGTCGTGGTTCTAAGTCTGACAGTAATGTAGGGGGGTAGGTATGGAGAGGCAAGATCTTAGCTATGGAGTAGTTGTAAGCACACGAGGTTTACGAGTTCAGTCCCTTCTCGGAGGAAGTAATAACCCTACATCCCGGAGCCCGGAGGCGGTCGATTGGATTATGTGTGTATGAATTACAGGGGTGCGAACCCTTTACACTGAGGAGGGGGGTGGCTTATATAGAGTTCGCCGGACCCCTTCGGCCCTCAGTTGTGCAGGGTTTTAAATACATTAAGGTCGGGCGTTACTGGTAACGCCCCTAATAAAGTGCTACGATGACCATAAAAGCTACTTAATAACCGATCGTTAGCGTGCGGAGTGCCTTTAGGTCTCCTGGCCGTCGAGTGGTTGGGTCATGGTCAAGTGATTGCTTCTTGGTCGAGTGTCTTCGAGTCTGTCGAGTGGAACACCTCCAAGTCGATTGAAAAGTGATTTCTTCTAGAGATGTCCTTGGGTAGGGCAGTTGGGACATGTCCATGACCCTACCCTAGGTACATAGCTTCATCAGTGTCCGGTGTGTGGTATTGTGACGGCGTCATGGGGAGGAGCGCCCATAGTCAAACTCCGGGGATGTAGCCATATCGGTGAACCTTGTTAATAAATCTCGGTGTCGTGCTTGTATGATTGCTTGGTTCTCGGATAATCGACGGTATGCCTTGGATTTATTCTAACAAGTGGTATCATGAGCAAGGTTTCAAAGAGGCCGCGGAAGTTGATCAAGAGCAAGAACGTCGACAAAAATCTGTGAGAAGCGGTCGTGATACGGGGCGAAGTTCGTCGGCGGGTTATGATCGAGAAACAGATGTGATCGAGTTGTACTTGACAGAAGCAATCAGAAGCAGCGGGTTGATTGGTCGATCGCAGGTGCAGCGACACATGCACATGCAGCAGGCGACTAGTACATCGGCGGGTTTCGGATCGGATCGTGTGGTTCTTTTCAGTGAGACGCGGGTCCGAGCTGGTCCATGAGGACCGGAGCCTAAGGCCGGCGTTGTGTGGCAGCCCACGTGGAAGCTAGCCGGGCGTGGAAACTGCAGCAAGGCAAGAGACGCTGGGTTGGCTGCTTGTGGCCGTACACGCTGCATGAATTGGGAGCAGATACGGGATTTGTTTGTGACAAAAAGAATTGGCATAAGGACTCAGAGTCAGATCGTGATGCTTATCAAGAAAGAAATAGAGAAGTTCGTTCAAAAGCTACGTACGTGTGGTGAATTAGGAGCTTGGCTTGCTTTGTTAATCTCCTTGGATGTTCACACGGAAAGGCTATGAAGGATTGTGCTTTGAGTTTTCTTTGTTGGTACACATTTGTGTATGGATGGCGATTGTCATGATGACGGTTTGAGGAGTCTGGAGCGTGTCATGTAGCGGGACAAGTTCGGCTGGGTCAGACTAGTCAGTCTGACGGATCGACGTGAGTCGGTTGGTACAGAAAATGGTGGTGGGATCGGCGATGACGACATTGGAGCGTGATGCTGATGGTGACCGACTTCTGGGCGTGGAAACACGTGGCGTGGGCCTGAAGGCTTGTGTGGCTTCGGCAAGACTATGGCGCGGGGTTGATTCAAGACGGTGCACATGAGAGCTTGAAGTCGACGAGGTGTGAGGGTGGACTGATCATCTACCACGGAGTCATGTTGAAGGTGGAGCTGGATTGAGGGGCTACGGTGTAAGCATCCAGGGAATCGAAGCCTATTCAGCAAGGGGGGAAAAGCGAGTGACATGCAGTTCGGATTGGAGCCCAGTGGTCAGATGGAAGCGTGAAACTCGTCATCGGTCGATGATGATCGGTGGTACTCTGCAATGGGGGTTAAGTGGTGTGGGTTCGCGACCCTTGAGACTCGACCGGGACAGCGGAGGCTCGACGTGGTAATAGCGGCGAAGCGTGCGGTGCGCATGGGACATGGAGACGGGCCAGGGCTCGGGTGGTCATACATGTGGTGAGACAACTACGAATTTGACTCAGGATGACTACAAGCAATGGTGAAATTTCTTCAAGTTTCAGACAGGCGGTCAAGAAAGGAGCGGTGATGTTGAGTTCAGATAACTCTTATGTGTGACACCCAATATATGCGTTGTTCATTTTCACGCAGGTCAGTGATCAGTGTGTGATGATGTTGGACTAATATTCTGGAAGTTGGAAACGCAAACTAGAGTAACAAGGAACTTAATTTTGCTCGAGTGTTGACTGTTGTCAAGAAAAGAAGGGACTACACATTGCAGGTGGAGTCACATGAAGTCTTTGGAGTAGCAGCGGTACTTATGGGATAAGTTTAAGTCCAATATACATGGAAGTTTGACGCATTGACGAATTCAAGGTGATGGAGAATATTCGCCAAGGTGGAGTTTGTTAGAATTGTGTCGAATATTGTGTATAAGGTAGGTTGCAGTTGGACTTGTAGTTGTATTGTGTTTAGATAGGATAAGGAGTCGTGTCCTAATAGGACACTTATATCCTAGGCCTCTCATATATAGTGGGGGTAGACACAGGATGTAATCTATGCCAACATAATAGCACAGGTACGCAAGGGGGAGCCGGCGGCGTGTGCCGGTGTCCGGGTGTTCGGTGTGCGGTATTGTGACGGCGTCATGGAGAGGAGCGCCCATAGTCAAGCCTCGGGGATGTAGCCATATCGGTGAACCTCGTTAACAAATCTCGGTGTCGTGCTCGTATGATTGCTTGATTTTCGCGATGATCGACGGTATGCCTCGGATTTATTCTAACGATGAGTATTTTTGTTTGATCTGATTATAATTTTCTCCCTGGAAATAAGCTTCATCTCATAGCTTTTACACTACACATGTAAACATTTTTCTTTCTTCTCAACTCAGTACGCCTCTAGAAGTTTTGACGATCTCTGCAACAAAGCATAGGGTGTCTTCCGAACTTTATGCAAGTCTCTCACACTACGCATTTATTTTCTATCTAAAGCTTCTTCCACATTAAGACACATCATCATGCATGTCAATGCCATTAGTTAATTTTAGACTTCTCGTACTCCCTCCGTTCCGAATTACTTGTCTTAGATTTGTCTAGATACGGAGGTATCTAGCACTAAAATGAGTCTAGATATATCCGTATCTAGACAAATTCAAGACAAGTAATTCAAAACGGAGGGAGTACATTCAGCACAACCAAACAAGCAAACAAACAAAGGTTCGGATGCAGAATCGTAGTTGAAGCAAGTATAGAGCGCACACACACACGAGACATGAGATTATCCCAGAGGACGAATAATCTAGCTACTCCATTTGGAGGAACCAATGACTGCAACCTGGACTTCAATGCAGCACTTTTTCTTCACGAGATAACCTTTTGATGAGTCCTTGAAATCTTCCAGCGTTATGAACTTGTCCCATGTCCAAGTACGGGTACAATTCTTGAACTGGATCCGGGCTAAGGCCACCCCAAAAAAAGTCCATGTCAATCAGGAAATATGATGATAACAGTTTGTTTTAGCATCGCGAATTAGTGATTCCTATTACGTGAAATTTCTGCTATAGGGCGAACCTGATGTTTTCATGTGCTTGCCAGTTTCCTGGTCGATGCTTATGCTAACTTCTGCCAGGATCCCCGAGTCCTTATGGAGTGTGTCCTTCATGCTCAGATACAAGGAGAGGTAGTTCCCATTCGAATCGGACCCAGATGGATAGATAGCGATGAACCTGAAAATTGGGGAACATCACACGGTGTAATCCATCACTGATAAGAAGAGGTCGAACTCCAACGGTCTTTATTTTTTGTTTTCTTTAAAAGAGGTATGATAGCCTTTCTCTTCAAATGAAATTAAGATAATTCTGTATATAAACTCAATAATGAAGAATTAATGTCATTGGTCAAGTTACATTTGTGTCCTCAGAGCTGAAACTCTGGAGAGGTGCTCGGGTTCTTCAACACAAAGAAATCATCAATGTTCCAGGTGTAGGCTTGTGGGCCATTGCTGCTGATGTTGCTAGTCTTCTGAACAAACAGCGTCTCCAACGCATCGTTACCTTTAACAGCGACAATTTTGATGAACTGGACACCGAAAACACAGCTGTCTTTGACGAGGAATCCAGAGGATTGCTCCTTAAGCGTCGTGAGGGGGATCATGCATGAGGTCCCAGAGAATTTGCTTGTAGCCTGAAAATCGTGGCTCACTACAAACAAAATATTGAAATGTAAGACAATAAACAAAGAAATGATGCATTTAACTCTCTCTCTCTCTCACCGAAAAAGGCTTTCGCCCCGCTTTATATATAAAGCAAACCGCCAAGAGCACACATACACGGACTAGTTCAAACCACACACATCCAAGAAATATAACGAAAAGTATAAAGGTTCTGCTGAGGGCACAGCTCAACAAGCCCAAAAGAAACAAAAAGGACGCGGCCGAGGCAAGGCGTCTAATCCGGCTCCGGGGGTGGCGGAGGGGGTGGCGGCGACAGACGGACGGCCATCGAGTGAAGGTCGGCGATGAAGGCGGTGATGGCGTCGCGGTCCTGAGGGCGGCTAAGCGGCCGCCAAAGCTGCAAGTAACCAGACAGTTTGAAGAGAGCGTCAGTAGCCCGTCAAAGAGGAATACGCTGGATCACAAGCTTATTGCGAATCGTCCAAAGAGTCCACGCTAGAACCCCGATCTCGAGCCACCTAATATGGCGAGAGGGGGGAGGGGAGTTCTGGAGTTCGGTGAAGAGGTCGGGGAAGTTGGTGTGACACCAATCGCCTCCCACTGCCTCCCTAAAGCAGCTCCACATGAATTGAGCTGAGACACAGGAGAAGAAGATGTGATTCGAATCTTTGGGGGTACCACACAGGGGGCAGAGTCCGGACCCAGGGCCATTGCGTTTGCGGACCTCCACCCCAGACGGAATCCTACCGCAGATCCATTGCCACATGAATATCTAAATTTTCAATGGCAAGCGGATGGACCAAACTGCAGGGACGGGGGAGGAGCGGAGGAGGGGGCAATGGCCGAGTAGAGGGACTTGGTGGAGAATTGGCCCGAAGGCTCAAGACGCCACCGAACGTCGTTCGGGCCCGCATCCACCGCCGGCTCGTGGAGAGCGACGCAATCAAGCAGCTCAAGCCATGCGGCGGCTTCCGGGGGCCCAAATGGCCTCCGAAAGGCGAGGCGCCCTAAGTCAATAAGGGCCCTCTCAACGGAGATTAAGGGGGCGACAGCAATGGATAAGAGGTCGGGGAAACGGGCCACAAACGGGGAGTCTCCCGCCTACCGGTCGAACCAGAACAACGTCCTTGTACCCGATCCAACCGAGATGGAGGTTCCGATGCGAAGGACGGGAAGCAGTTGGACAACCGATTGCCAAATCTGGGAGCCGCCGGATCTCTGACAAAAGGCGAGGGGCTGCTCGCGCAGGTACTTGTTTCGGATAATGTCAAGCCAGAGACCACCGTGTCCTTGCGAAATGCGCCAGAACCAGCGGGTGAGGAGGGTGATGTTCATGCGTTTAGAGCACATGATACCGAGGCCTCCCTGTTCTCGGGGCTTGCAGATGTCCGGCCAGCTAACCATGTGGTATTTCTGCTTATTGTTGTCACCCGCCCAGAAGAAACGAGATTGGATTTTGGCGATCTCATGGTGAAGGGTCTCATGGAGGCTATAGAAGCTCATAAGAAACAGGAGGAGGCTAGTGAGGGAGGAATTAATGAGGATCGTCTGAGCCGCCTTTGACAGCCATCGGCCTTGCCGAGGCTCCATGCGCATTTGTAACTTGGCAACCGTGAGGCGCAAGTCCGCGACAGTGAGCCGAGAGTCACTGATGGGGGTTCCCAAGTAAGTCGTGGGAAAGGAGCCGAGGCGGCAATTGAGGCGGTTGGCGATGTCACGGGCTTCAGCCGGAGAGTAGCCCATAACCATCACATCACTCTTGTCGAAGTTGATCTTGAGACCAGACATTTGTTGGAAGCAGAGAAGAAGGAACATGAGGTTAGTGATGTCCGTGTCCGAGCCCTCGACCATGATGATGGTGTCGCCCGCGTACTGGAGCATGGAGATCCCAGAGCCGCCCGCCAAATGAGGGGTAATCCCACGAATATGGCCAGCGGATTTGGCCTTATCTAGGATGGCGGCAAGCGCGACCACCACCATGTTGAACAGGAACGGAGAGAAAGGATCGCCTTGTCTAACCCCACAGAGGGTGGGGAAGTAAGGACCAATCTCCCCATTGATGTTCATGGCAGTGCGTCCGCAGGACACCATCTGCATCACCCAGGTGATCCAACGATCATCAAAGCCCTTCCGGAGCAAAACTTCCCAAAGGAAGGACCAACTAACAGTGTCGTAGGCCTTGTGGAAGTAAATTTTCAGGAAGACCGCCTTGAGGTGTTTAGACCGAACCTCATGGAGGACTTCATGGAGAACTAATATCCCATCCAGGATATACCGCCCTTTCAAGAAGGCGGACTGGTTGGGGTGGGTAATGAGGTCCGCAAGCAGGGTCACCCTATTGGCGTACCCCTTTGCCAGAATCCGGAAGATCACATTGATCACCGTGATCGGGCGGAACTGGCGAATGTCGGAGGCCCCCGGCACTTTGGGAATGAGCGAGATGATCCCGTAGTTGAGGCGACCGAGGTCGATGGTCCCAACGTAGAACTCGTCAAAGATGGCCATGATTTCCGGCTTAATCACATTCCAGAAGGTCTGGAAGAATTTAACCGGAAGGCCGTCCGGACCTGGGGCCGAGGAGGGATTCATGCCTCTAATGGCTGTCCAGACCTCATCCTCCGAGAATGGGGCCGTGAGAGCGGCATTCTCCGCAGCGGAGACAAGCTGGCGGCCGGACCAGCAATCGAGGGCCAGAGAAAGGCCACTCCTAGGAGAAGCGGAGAAAAGGGATCGGTAGAACCCGTCGACATGGGTCCTAATGTTGCTCCGGGACTACAGAAGGGACGGACCGTCCCAGAGGAGGGGGATGGTGTTGCGTCTACGGCGGCCGTTCGCTATGGCCTGAAAGTAGGCAGTGTTTGCGTCGCCCTTCAGGACCCATTTCTGGGATCCTCGCAAGCACCAGTAAGCTTCCTCGTCCGTGTAGATGATGGAGAGTTGGTCTTCCAGGTCATACCGAGAGGCTTGCAAATTGGTCCAGGTCGGGGAGGTTTGCCGATTGGTCCAGGTGAACCTGGCACCGATCCTATCTATTTCGTGAAGACCAAGATCGGCAATGCGGTCATTAAACATCTGCATACGTGCATAGTTGACATGGTCTTTGCTCTTGTCTTCCGCGAGTCGAAGGAGGTTAAAATCGCCTCCGACAACCACCGGCAGGGAGGCCGCAGAGACCTTTCGGTTAAGCTCCTCGAGGAAGGACGTGGATCTACTGTGGTCAGCCGGGCCATAGACGATGACAACCTCCCACTTAAAGTGCAGGGCTCGTTCATAGAGCTCCATACTAACAAAGAACTGGCCCCGGTCCATACTCCCCACCTCGAAGGTGAAGGATGCCACCTGAATGGCCGGTGTTCCCACTAGAAGGGAGCCAGTGCCACGCAAAGAGGTGGGTGCTCAGCCGGTCAAGCTCCGGCAATGAGAAGTCGGAGTGCATGGTTTCCTGGATCGCCACTATGTCAATATGCTGATCGCGCACGTACTCGGTGAGTTGGTGGCGGCGGCCGTCATGGCCGAACCCGCAGATGTTCCAGAATAAGGCACGCATTAGAGAGCCATTGGGGGGCTGCTTGACCCCAGGACGCGGGAGGCGCTTTGGGTCGGAGAGCGGCAGTGCGAGAGCGGGTGCGGCCCCGAGGCTCAGCCTCCACCACTGGTGGGCGGCCAACCGCCTCTCTCTCTCCCTCTCTCTCTCCCTCTCCCTCTCCCTCTCCCTCTCTCTCTCTCTCTCTCTGATTCATAACTATTGTATTCCTCTTGAGAAACAGGTTATAATCTACACTATCAATCTAGTAACCGACTAGTTGTGAACCTTAAAGGACTACTCCATGGAGCTAACGTACCTTGATGCTGTTCATGGTGCTTCCCATATAACTGGTCATATATCAGGAACTTGAAAGTTGTCTCCGCGACCATATGGGATCTCTCAGATACTTTAGACAGGACAAGCTTAAGAGTAACATATTCATTCTGGTCACCACTCTTTCAGTCCCTTGGGTTCAGCATCAGGTACCTGCAAATCAAGTCAAGACAAAGTAAGAATGAATTTTGTTCCTGACATGGATGCATCAAGCTATCGAATAGCAGAAAAAAGTAGCAATTTGTACTAGTTAAGCCCCTTCATCACAAACACACTGGAGTTGGTCCATCCTTCATCCTTATCGAGAAGCGAGGAGAAACCATTGATCCTCCATTTGAAGGTTGTCCCCGACCCATTGGAACCCTGGCCTACAAAACAACGATTCTTGCATCGGTAACAACATCAAAGACCACAATATATAACAGCATCATGCTTGATCCATTAAGTTAGTACAGTTTTGTCAATTTGTGTGAAGTACTATTTGCTCTTCTTGCTCTCTACACAACTAGTTGTGCCGGCACCCCATGTCACGTTTGACTCTTCTAAGTATTCAAGAAAAATGTACTCCCTCCGTCCCACAATATAAGAACGTTTTTGACACTAGTGTAGTGTCAAAAACGTTCTTATATTTTGGGACAAAGGAAGTACTACTGTATGTAGAAAACGATGGGAAGCGTTCTACCCTCTCGTGAGAGGGCCGCGTGGTATTTATTGATAGAGATGGGGCATATCCCATGATCGCATACATGTCTTGGAGTACAAGGGATTAGGAGATAGAGATGAAGTAGTTTAAGTAGATACTAATCTATCTCTAGTCTAACCAGAACTCCAACTAACTAGGGCAGGGCCACATGAGATATATTTCAACACACCCCCTTAATCACAACTTGACCAAGTTGAGATTACGCCTGAATTTCTCAAAGCTTTGTGTGGGCAATGCCTTGGTGAAGCCATCTACAATCTGATCTCCAGAATTAATAAAACGGACATCCAACTGTTTGTTAGCAACTCATTCTCTTACAAAGTGGAAGTCTATCTCAATATGCTTTGTTCTGGCATGAAAAACTGGATTGGCAGAGAGATAGGTAGCACCAAGATTATCACACCATAAACAAGGAGCTT